CTGCTGGCGCCAGCCAAAGAAAAAAGAAAAACATGGATTGGAAAGAAACATGGAGCACTTTTGTATGCTTATTTTACTCAGAGTGCACTTACAAGTTACAGCAAGATTTTCCTGAATGAACCTGAGCACAATGATGGCCAGATTCCTTTCGAAAAGTGCACTTACTTTGAGTATGGACTCTGATTGGTGTTTTGCTCTGTTCTTTGTTGCTCTCCATTCAGGCTTATTATGGGTCGGGAGCGCAGCCTCCTCATGGAGCAGGATATTACCCCTCTGCCACCTCAGCTCCTCAGCCTCATCATCCTTATATCTGGGGTAGTCAGGTAATATATATATATATATTGCCTTTGGATATCTGAGTGCATAACAACCAAAGGGCATATTACCCAATGCATCCTTATCTCAGTTGGCACGCCCATGAATGGCATGAGCTGATGAGATACAGACCCTGAAGTGCAACGCACCCCCAAACGAGTCCGTGCAGCCGCCCCAACACAACAAGCAGCTTATTTTATTTATGTATCCAGCTTATTTTTTATTTATGTATGCGCTCATCCACGCGTAAAGAGTGTAGCCCTTGCCAAGTCTAAGGTTGAGGGTTCAAAGTTCAAACTTCAAATCCCTTTTTCCGCTCGTCAGCTTCCTTCGCTGCCTGGCCCAGATGAAAGCAGATGAACAGCGCCAAATTATTCTAAATTGCGTGGGGCCAGTCACTTCACTGATGATATCCCAATCCCGTCGCCCTTTTCGGAAAAAAAAAAGAAAAAAAGAAAAAAAAGAAGTGTGGGATAAGAGTGGGATAAGAGTGGGATAAGAGTGAGAGAGGATTAAACGGACTCAAAATCCAGCCAAATGTTGGAAGAATGGGCAGACAAGCTAACGATCGTCAATCAACCAGCCAAACAATTACTGTCTGGGTTTCATGATCGATTGATTGTCAAGAGTTTAGCGTGGTGTAATCAATCAACCCTAAACTAATCAATTGAAAAAAAAAAAAAGAAGTGAAATGATCCAAGTTCTCACGGAACTCGACGTCGCAGAAAAAAAATGCAATGAACAACCGCGCACGTTGACTGAACTGCGATCCTTTCTTGGGATTGGCCAATTACTACCGAAAGTTCGTACGCAACTTCTCCACGATTGATTGCTGCTCCACTGCGTAGGCTGCTGAGGAAAGAAACGGTTTGGAATTGGATCATTTCAAAAGGGATTTAAAATGCGAATTTAGAAGTTATTTTATTGCTTTGTTTGCCTCCAAAATGGAGCTGTCATGTGTTTTCTGTCTACAGCAGATACTCTATACTTACTACTACTCACATTCATGTACCTTCTCTCTCTTTCTCACTCTCTCTCGCTCTCACAGAGTATATAGAGATCAAATCAACAGTGATGGAAAAAAAGGGATAATAATTAAAAAAAAAATAGATCAATCAATTGACTACTCCCTC